GGCAAAAAGAGAGAGAGAGAGAGAGAGAGAGAGAGAGAGAGAGAGAGAGAGAGAGAGGCAGACAGACATGGGCTGGGGCTGTAGCTCAGTGGTGCAGTGCCTGCCTGGCAAGTGCAAGGTTCTAAATTCAATTCCTGGTACCAGAAAAAAAAAAAAAAGAGTTCTGGGTTGACTCTATGCAAAGGGACGCAGGGAAGGGCTGTTCTCACCAAAGTTCCCCAGGCTGTGTTCGAGGGTGTCCACACATATCTCTAATACCCGCACACTTCGGAGGTTATCCGCCTGGGCCAGGGCCTGCTGCAGAGATGAGTGGGTGTCACTCTCCATCCCGGCTTTCCCGGGACTGTCTGGGACTCTGAGGTGCCCCTGGAGCAGGGGACAGTATTCCCTGCATCCCCTGCCTCATCCATGTGGGTCTTGGCCACGACACTCAGCTGGTGGCATGGAAGTGGATACAATCAGAGTGGCACCATTGGGTAGGAGCCACTGCCAGAGAAGGGGCTGTCTTCAGGCTGCTGGTCTCCAGATGAGAACTTCACCCAAAGGCCACTTGGACCTGTGCATGATGAGCACACATGGATCTGTGAGCCTCAGGGGTGCCCCTCATTTCCTGCTGCCTCGGGCCTCCCGGATGAGGCCTTTTCTGGGCCTGTGAAAGGCACGCATGGTCCCCTGGATGCTGGGCCCCCTGCCCAGGCTCAGCAGGCACCTTGGAGGGTGTAAGACAGGCCAGGCAGTTATTCTGAGGGAGGAGCTAGGTGGTGCCTGCACTCACAAGTCCTCCCCTCTCCCTGGGTGGTCCATGATGGGCGGCGGCAGGCTCTGGGTGCTGGGAGCTGATGCAGGTTCTGTGGGGTGGCCTGGCAGAACTTCTGGGCCTCAGGTCAGGGTGAACCCTGGGGTTCCACAGCAGGTTTGTGGAAGCCTCTGCTATGCCCGGAGTGGTCAGGCCTCAGGTATGGGCCCTTCACTAAATGGGGCCCCTATCCTCTATACTCTGTGGTCTGGATACACACTGCCCCTGGCTCTGCTTCTGGGACAGTTTCCTCGACAAGTACTTTTGGACCTACCCTGACTCAGCCATGTCTGTGACCATGCTTGAGGATATCTGTCACCTGGGTTGCTGGTGCTTTGGGACCTGGTAGGAGCCCCAAAGGGGAGGCAGAAGGTATCCAACTGTGGGGACTGTGTTGAGGGCAGCTGGAAATCTGCAGAAAGGGGGCTTGGGATGTCTCCTTGTGCAGGACCTCATACTTACCAAGTGGGCAGGGGACAGGGGCTCTTTTATCCATTGCTCTCTGTGGCTGACCTGGTGCCTCTCAGGGCCCTTGCTCTGTGGGCAGGGATTGTGCAGGCCCTGCCAGCTCAGCTCCCGCACCTGGACACTGGCTGAGTATGGCCGAGACCTTGGGCATCCATTCCTGGCTGGGTCCATCCTCACACAACCTGCTGGGAGGGCAGAGGGCAGGGCCCCGTCTGCTGCTGCTGCTCACATAAGCCACCTTCAGGGCCCCAGCTGCCTGGATCTCCCAGTGCCTCCCGTTTCTGCTTTGTTTCTTTCAGTACCACAGGATGAGTGCCGGCTCTCAACTTCTCACTGGGGCCTAAAGGCTGTGGGCCTGGGCGTGCTGATGGGCACTCCAGGCTGAGCTCCTTCTCCATACAATGCTTTCCACGCCTGGGCCCAGGACCAGAGTCTTGGGCACTCCCACCCACTCCTGTGTTGGCCAAGTCCCCACCTGCAGGCAGCTGCCTTCTGCTGTGGGTCAAACATCCGGGTGTGGGGGCAGCATGTGTCCACAGGTGATACCTGGGAGACAGGGTTGGGTTAGGCTCCTGGCCAGGTCACTGTGCCCAGGGGTACCAGCACTAAAAGGGAGTGGGTACGGAGGGGGTAGGGCAGAGCTCCCTGTGATGGTTCAGGTGAGGGATCTGACCAGCAGATGAGGAAGAAGACAGTCAGGGGGTGACCCACGGACTCCCCTGGGTGCAAATGAGGACTTGGTCCTCACCCAGATCCCATTCCCTCAATTCCTGAAAGGGCCCCAGTGTGGCTCTAGATGCTTCTTGTTCACCAGCCTCTCTTGCACTCTGTCCTTCCTATGCCAGAACCCCAGCAGTGGCCTCACACGTCCTCGCCACTTTCACCAGGTTCCTTAATAACACAGAGGCATGTGAGCAGTCCCAGACCAACACATGGTCTCAGCTGGGCCAGAGCTCTGCCCACAAGACTCAGCATCCCCTCTTCCTCTGCCTTCCATCCAGGCTTGGCTGATCCCTTACGGCCACATTCCTACCTACCCTTCCCAGATCTTTCTCTGATCTGACTGGGCAGGTCACTTTCCAGCTGTGTCCACAGGGCTATGTTGGAGGAGGGCACTAAAATGCTTGTGAAGGAATTGATGAATGTGGTGGGCCACCTGTTACATTTATTAAAAAGATTCATGCTTTCTCTCAGGTCTGCAGTCCTGGGATCAGGGATGTGGTCATCAGGGCTGTGGCAGCGCAGTGGGAGGGACAAGGTGTTCAGGCTCTGGGTCTCAGGGGCCCAGTCTACAAAATAAGCAACACGTCAGGGGTGAGGATTCAGTTCAGTGGTTCCACTGCCTGCCTTGCAAGCACAAGGTCCTGAGTTCCATCCCCAGTACCCCCCTCCCAAAAAATGAGCAGTACATCAAAGCCCACGGAAGTCTCATGGATTTCCAGCCAGTAGCTGAGGGCTGGGCTTGGAACTGCAGGAGCTGAGCTGGTTCCTGCCTCGGGCTGCTAACCCCAGAGGAGGTCTTGAGGCTTCTCCGATCCTGACCCAGATGAGTAGAGGTAGGTGGTGTCTCCAAGCAGGGGCAGGAGAGGTGGGGAGCTTAGCCAGTCCCAGACTTGACACCTGGGGCCTTGGCTGGGCACTGGGACATGAACAGGTTGTGCCCGGCACTCACCTGCAGGTTGGACCCGGGTGCCGCAGCCCCGGGCCCCTCTGCTGAGGGTGCTCTCTTCACTCCGGGTCGTTCTTCCGGTCGCGGGTCCGGGCGTCATGGCAACGGGGGCGGAACCTTATTTGAATTCCCATACGTTCTCAAGCCGCGGGCAACTAGGCTCAGGGTCTGAGTCCCGCCCCTTAGCAACGGTTGCCGGGGCACGCGTCTGAAGCGTTGAGACCGGAAAGCGCCTTCTAGATGAGGAGGGTGGCAACTTTCTCGCTGCTCGGACTCTGGACCGAGTGTGGGAGCCCGGCCGTGGCCCTCTAGGAGTTTGACATTTAAAAGGAAACTTCTTCACCTCTACACTCAAGGCATTGATACAATCTGTAACATTCTAGGACTCTGCTTGTTAAACTTGTTGCTGCAACGGAAGAAACTCAAGGAGACAGCCAAACATCTGATGTTCTTTGCAGAGTCAGAAAATCCGGTCTTTGCATAAAAGATACAAATAATTGCTTGGTGCTTCCTGTTGATGTGAACCTATAAAAGGAGCTGTTTTTGTGAAATAAATCAGACTTCTCTTCGTCTCCGCTCAGGTTTGTGTTCTTTCCTTTCTCAATCCTCACTCCCCGACTCGGGCATGTTCGTGTTGTGACGGCTGGACCGCCACAACCGAGGAGCCGGAGACGCCCAACGGGCTCTCGGTATCCTCCTCTTGGCCAGGTCTATGCGAGCTGGGCTCAGATTAGGGACCGCACGTAGGCTGGCCCCGCAGTCCCGTCGCGGCCTCTCGGTAACGCTTCTAAATTTTCTGATGGAAAGGATGTACTTGCACATTTTTTGGAATTTAAAAAAATGTTAAAAACACCATAGAGGAGGCTTCAGTGCTTGGATTCGGGGAGGTCTCTCTTCGCTCCCGCTGGCAACTTTTGGGTTGGACTTGCGGGGTGCACTGGGAGGCAGCATCAGGGATGGAACCTGAAGTGTTTTGCAAAAGCTGGGGTTCGGACACCCCTGAAGCTCTCGAGTCTTCCAGGTGGGGCTTCCGCGCCCCAGCAAGGAGGGCTGCAGATCCGCGGCCACCTGGGGGTGGGGGTGCAGGATGGATTGTGCCTTCCCTGGTCCAAGCCCGGGGCGTTCTTGGTGCTGACTGTCCCGCCTCACTTAGCCTCCTCCCTTTGGGCCCTTGGGCTTCCTGGCGCTGGCACGGCTGGCGGCTCCCGAGCCTGTCCTGAGGCTCAGAGGCCCGTCTGTTCCCGGGGGAACCCTAGGACTCTTAGCACCCCGGAACTAGGGCCCACTCTTCGAGCCGCTCCAGGAAGG